ATGTGGAAAAAAATTAGCAGCACACTGCGGCAGTTTTTTGGAACTAGACCCCTGATTCGCTTGAAGTTTGCCCCATCGCTATGATGGCCACCAGCCAGCTTGTGGTTACATGAAGGAAAATGTATTGGTCATACACTACGCGGCAATGTTTCTGTGCTACGATCAAAATCCTTTTTTTGACTTACAAATGATCTTCGCAAAAATTGTACGAATCTTAATATTAATATTTGCCCAACTTGAAGTGCGAAATTTTCAAGAGAACGCACTTTTATAGAATGTTTAATTATAAAAGGAGGAAGAAACTACATCGGGCGCAAGTTTAGATCAACATTATATGGTCTACGACAAGTTGCTTGAAAAGCGCCTATGGAAAGATCTTTCATTAAGACAATTTCTATAGTACATTGCTGAGTTCAATGCTGTTTTTACGCCTCCGCAAGTGAAACAATTGCAGATAATTTTGGATTTGCTGAGTACGCCAATATATGTTCAGCTGATGATACGTCAGCTGCATCAGCAGTACTATACAGCTGAGATGATCTCATTTATTGCCAACTTGTTTTATTCTTCGTTGGTTGTACTAAGCTCAAATGTTTTCACGGCAAAAAGCGACGTGTGCCCTTTCATTTCAGTCTACCTAACAGCTGTCTGTGTGAACAGACAGTCAATGTTTTACGGAATAGAGTTACATCTTAGATGTAACCCATAATATGTTAATAAACCTAAGATCTGATCAAATGCTCACCCCTATTAAAGGTACCGTAGCGAAGTTTGTGAGCACGACTAGCATAGAGTGAACGGCGTAGCACATACAGAACATTGCCGATCTGTACTGTAGAGGTACCAGTTCTGGGGAGATGAACCATGCGACGGGGCCAACGCCGACTCTGAAAGAAGCAAAGACCTCGAAACATCTATTGACATGTGCAGAAATTTTAACTCTGGTGTGTCAGACCTGAAAATGTTTAATTCTACAAAAAGCGCTTAGCTGAAAACCATTTTTCACACCTGAGGTTATAAGTTTGAGGAAGTAAAAAGTTATAAAAAAAAACTATATGAACAAAGTTCTTACCCATAAGAGAAAACAAAAACGAAGACTCCAGCTACTGCTATATATCTGTAGCCAGACTCTGCAGCAATGACAAACGCTGTCAGTGAGAGCATGCATGAAGTTCCGGCTGTTAGGAGCATTAATCTAGAAGGAGAACATGTGAATGTCAGCACGGTAAGTATTTGCTGATTAACCTCCGTGGAAGTTTGTCAACGATGCAGGTTGAGGCAATACATGCGAATGTTAGGAGAACCATCAACAAGGTCGAAGAGAATTGAGCAACGCTGCTGAAAATCAGGATTATGATTTTAGGACTAAACCATTAGAGATAAAATATGGATAACCTGGGAATATTGAGATGAGTGAAGAAAAATGTGCTGTTTTGTAATATGGGGTAAAACGGAAGTGTAAGTATGAGGACGGCAACTGAGATGGTGAAGGCTCGGCGTAGATGAGGAGTCGTAA